CTGTTTTTGGGTTGCTCACCCAGGCTTTTAGAGTGGAGCCACCTCCGCTTCCTCACTACCACCTCACAGAAGGAAAGCAAGAGGAACTGACTGACTGACTCCATGAGGGCTTCACCCCGACAAGGCAGAGCAGCCCCAAACAGAACCCCAGGTTGGGGAGGAAGGTGGAAAAAGAGGGGGTTGCCTCCCTTCCATTTCTCCAACTTTTACCCCAATGTTTTCCCCTTGCACTATTACCGCTGGTCTCAACATTATGAGCTTGCCACACTACCACTATCCTCTGGTACTGTTGCTGCTGCCTTCTGACTCACGATTAAACCAGGTAAATCTTACACATGAGTAAATTGGCACTCCAAAGACTTGTCTGGGCCCTTCTCACAGGAGAATAAATATCTTCAGTGTGAACAGAAGGATCACTCAAGTATGAGATAAGACAGATCACACTGAAGGCAAGAATCCTTTTAAGCATGAACTAAACTGCTCCAAATTCCCTGCCTGGACAGGCCCTAAGTTTGTGCAGATATCCTGGTATCTTGGGAGATCCGAGGCTGGTGTAATTTTGCTTCTCTCTCACTCCACCTCTTTCCCATGTCTTTTGGCTTTTCTGCCAGTACAACCTCCACAGTAGTTTTGCCAGTGTATTGCCCTGTTGGCTGAGTTCTGAGATCAGCCAACAGAGGCTGTTACACTAGCAGAAGGGAAATTTCTGTTGGCCAATGAGGCTAGTGCCTAATCCTAGTGCCCAGCTGGTGCATCTTTGGGTCAGGATGGCAACATTGTGAAAGCTTGATAGCACTTCTGTGATGTCCAGCTTTATTCTGAGATCCTCCAATGGCTGTGGCCTAGCCTGAATCTTACTGACTATAAGTGAATAAATGTTCTTTTCAGTTATGATGGTTTTCATTAGTGGCCCCAATCAAGCCTATAATGGATTTTTTTTTACATTTTCCAATGCAGCAGTTCATAGAATGTTGTCAGTGGGAGGAGAAAGAACATCAGATTTTGAGGACCAAGTTTGACTTTCCCACTGACTCATCCTGCAACGGATCAGGTTGTTCAACCTACTAGTGCTACAGTTTCCCCTCATGGAAAATAAGAGACCTGAGATCATCATTTTTCAAACAAAGCTTTCGTATGTGCAGATAAAGATGTTTAGGCTCATAACATACTTTTCTATTCATTGAATAAGGTTAATGAAAGAGTAGGAGAGAGTACATTGATTTTCATTTCCTTTTGTGAAACTACATATAAATTACACTTGTCAGTCTGGTTTACTTGCTTTTGGTGAGGATAAATATGTTCCTCCTGGCTTCTCTTTCCTCAAGTTAGAGATTCTGGGCTTTAAATTTTTTGTAAGAGAATTTCCAAATAGCCCAATTCTGTTGTATATGTGGCAATTTTCTGGTGGCCACGGCAGCCATTCCAATCAATTATCCTACTCTTATGAGAGTATAAATGGCCACTCATTGCCCAGCATTCCAATTCAACTGCATCTTGGATTGCTTTTTCTGGAGCACTGCTTTATTTTTACTGTCTTTATATTGTCAGCTTTGGTTAAAAGTTACAAGTATTTCCCATTTTCAGGTTTTGTTTTAGTACTTAACATATTTTGGACAGCATGCCCATCATGACATATTTTGGACAGCATGCCCATCCATCATGGTTGGCTTTTCTCTCTTGTGGAATTACAAGCCCCTGTGTAAAATTCTGGTGGTATACTATTGCATTTTCATATACCACATGTTGTGACATTGCATCCTCATAAAGCGATTTTTTTCTTCTTAAAGCAATGAATAGAGAGTTAAAAGGCATAAACTTTTTACCAGCCAAGGGAGGTGAATCTCTGAAACCCTCTGTAGCTACGATAATTACAATTCCTCAGCATAGCAGCTAGTCAGACTGGCTTAGCAAGGGCAGGTGGAGTTGGGAATTATGAAAATTTGGGAGGCAACCCATTTTGGAACTCCCACAGCTGTTGCAAACAGGATGAGCCATATGCCTGAGTTTCAATCTACTGTATACAATGTGATACTCTGTGAGCTTTTCAGGAGAAACATCTACTGAAGCACAGTTATGAACTCTTGTCTTCATAGGTATGTTTGCGGTACTGGATGATTTTCTAAGAAGTAAGAAAGTTCCGTTCTTCTGAAACTAAGCAAAAGCTAGAGTATAAAATGCAGTTAGGTCCAGTATAAAAATGCCAGTGTTAGATCAGTTGAACTTGCCAAGTTGTTGTTTTTTTAGCTAACATGGCAGTTTTATTAATAGCTAATGGTGCTGATATTCATTTCCTGTTGGTAATCTGGAGATTTTAGTGGTTAACAATAAACTGTATTTTTAAAAAGTAATTTTGATCTCATGGCAAATAGCTATGTTATTCTTTTTTTGTAGCTATTTGCGCCAGTGGCCATTTCTGGATCACATGAAAATGTGTTATATGTACATATTACATATTTTATTGCAAATTTATTGAATATGATTTTCAGACTGTTGTATTCATGGAGCAGTAATTATGATGTTTAATCCTTTCATATATGGAAACTGATTCATCCCCCTTACTTAGCCATACCTAGGGAAACTGAAAGTGCAGACTGCTTATAATTCTATTGTGCTATTATTGCAACTTCAGTGAACTTACTGTGAAAATTGTGGTGGTGGACAGTTAGCAAACTCATTAATTCAGTGAGCTTACTGTAATGCTCAGATATGTTCGTTGGAGACAGAACTCACCAGTGTATTTATTAGTTAGGATTATTATTCCATAATACATTACCTTGCACTTCAAGTGGCAAAGGTGCTTTTCATTCATGTTTGGTAGGTGTAATTAATGAAAGGTGCTGAGTTTCCAACAGAGCTGGACAGATGCAGGCATAGGCTTTCTGCATGATGTCTCATGGACCACTGTCCTGCCTAGTCACCTGCTTTGCCAGCTGGTTCGGGCAGCATCTCTGCACTAAGACAAGTTATGTTTATCAGCTCTTGAAATTACTGCTAAGCAATTGTAATTAAGCTTTAGGAGTAAAAATGGATAAGGGATAAACCAAGGGCAGGGATCCTTTTGTTCTTCAGATGGTTAGACTATAAAAGCCATCAGCCTTACTTAACATGAGCCAATGATAAGGGATTGTGAGATCTGTAGTTGAAATAATTTGGAAGACCAGAGGTTTGTTACCTGTAGCATAAATGGGTCATGTGCATGGATCAGGTATTACATTTAAACAACTTGAAAGACTGGTTCATATATTCAGCTTGTCTTACATATTCAGCAACTGCAGCTCTTCTTGGAATATATGGGCCAAGGTCCACAGGGAGTGGTTCATACAATGAGACAGCCGACAACATATTTGCTATTGCTATTCAAGTGCTGCACTGGCTACTTAGCTTGGTTCATGTTTCTGTTCCCCACAGTCAGTTACATGTCAGTTGCTGGCCTGCAGTAGCAGCTAAATGAACAACCTTCTATGATGTTGTTGTTATGTGCTATCAAGTCACTTCCAACTTATGGTGACCTTGTGAATGAGCAATCTCCAAAATGTGCTGACCTCAACTGCCCTGCTCAGCTCCTGCAAATTCAAGCCTGTGGCTTCCTTTTAGAGAGTCAGCCCATCTCATATTTAGTCTTCATCTTTTCCTGCTGCCTTCCACTTTTCCCAGCATTATTGTCTTTTCCAGAGAATCCTGCCTTCTCATGATGTGCCTCAAGTAGGACAACCTCAGTTTCATCGTTTTGCCTCCAGAGATAGTTCAAGCTTGACTTAATCTAGGATCCACTTGTTCATCTTTCTGGCAGTCCAGGGTATGTGCAAAGCCCTCCTCCACAAATATTTTTTTTCTTGTCAGCTTTCTCTGCTGTTAAGCTTGCATGGTGAATGGAAATACCAGCGTGGATGAGCTTGGTCTTCGTCTCTAGTGTCATATCCTTCATGATCTTTTATACTGATCTTCTTTGATCTCTCTATCAATTCTCAGTGTAGCTCTTTATTTTAACATTGAAGTGTCACGTAGATTAATTTTAAAAAAGTAAGAAAGATTGGTACTTTCCAGCTGCCTTTCTTCTTCCAAATACTGTAGTTTCAGAAAGGAGCAATCTTTAATCACTAAGTGGGGTATGTCTGCCTGTATACATGATGAAGGCATTCAGGCAGCTAGAAGCTGATGTATATTATCAGATTATTTTTTAAAAACCAGTAACTTCATATGATCTGGAAATCATAAGAAAGAGAGTGAGACAGGAAGAATAAGATATTGGATTGCTGAGGTAACAGAATGGTTCACAGCTCTTCCACCTAGTGGTATTAATATGGAGGAGAGAACTTTCAAATAGTCCTCTCATGATAACCCCCAGTTCTAGCAACTAACTAACTAACTAACTAACTAACTAACTAACTAACTAACTAACTAACTAACAAACAAACAAACAAACAAACAAACAAACAAACAAACAAACCCAGTACACCTGGGAGAAAAAATAATAATTTTATGTACAAGCCCAATCAGAATCTCCCATGTATGCTTTGTGATACGCAAGGGATTATGGAAATTGTAAGTTTAAGTAGCTAAAGGGCCAAAGGTTTCCTAGACTTCTCCTATCCTAACATTTCTTTTTTCCTGCCAGGTCATCTAGGAGCATGTTTGCAGCTATTCCCAGGCATTACAATACTTTTGATTTGTTTGGTTTTTTTTCCAGTTCTTTTATTCAGTTCACATTTAATATGTGTGCCTCATGTTACTTTCAGTACAATATGAATTTCATTGTGAGATGTGCTGTACTTCATACCTGTGAAGTACAAGCCTCCAGCTAGAACTGACATGTCGTTACAGAGCTCAGAGTATCATTTTTTCTGTCTAATGTTTAACTTTTGTTGATTTCTGAGTTACTGGGTAAAGAGTGTGATTCCGCTGCATTTTGCAAACTGTACTTGTAGTGTGACGTACATTGACTGCCACACATCTGGGTCTCGAAACAATAAGTCAAAGTATTATTACTTCACTTTTCACAGAACTGGATTTTCAATGGCCGGGGAAAGATTGATCAAGTGGCTGAAATGAACATGAACACTATCCTTGAAGAGATTTTGATTAAAAGATCACAACAAAAGAAGAGGACATCTCCTTTAAACTACAAAGAGAGGCTTTTTGTGCTTACCAAATCCATGTTAACATATTATGAAGGTCGTCCAGAGGTAGGAAATTGGGTTTCAACTACTGTACGTATGTGTATGGTTTTCCCCTCCCCCGATCTTGAGATGATATGTCTGGTGGTGGGAGTTGGGGTGCTGTGGAGATTTACTCTTTATGAAATGGAAGTTTGAGAATATATATACCTGCAGTTAGTACACAACAAGGAAATCTGGATCTTTATAGAACTTCATGTCTTAAGTAGGTTGAGCTAGATTGAGTTTATATGAAAGAATAATCAGTTGTGCTGTACTTGTACTCTATTACACTTATAGTAATATGCAGTGATAAACTGTGCTGCAAATATCTTATACGTGCTGCAGGGTAAATAAAAATCAATTTAATTTAAATCATGATTAAAAACACAATTTAAATATTTTTAAAAAACAATTTTTAAAATTTTAAATCATCCCCAAAAATCCTATTTCTAAAAATTTAAATTGTGGTTTAAATCATGATTTAGATCCACCCATATGTGCTGTGAAACACAGTTACTTTATGATGAAAAATTGCATGGTATATTTCCTTTCTGAGAAGAAAGAATATTAACATAATAAAATTAAAATTAACATATTAACATATTAACATATTTTTTAATTTTTTTTTCTTATTCTATAAATGTGTTTGGAAAAATAGATAGATATTGGCCAACCTTGAATGTCACAGAAATGTGTTGGGCTTGCTAGTCAACAAATGACCCCTTATGTGATGAATATCTTTTACAGTTTTTTAGCTGATGTCTGTAAGTTCCTTGGAGCACAACCAATATGGGTCACTTTTCAATTTAGAGGGAGCTGCTGAACAACAGTTCTGACTGGTGCTCTTCAGGGCAATTCAGAAGCTCTGTCTGTATGCACTAGAACTCGTACAATGGCAGTGCTGGCATGGCGTCTGATATTAGCTGGGCAGAGCAAGAAAGAACTGGCCTGTTGTGGCTCTCAGAATCCATAGCTATAACTCAGTGGTTGAGCACACATTTTACAAACAGAAGACTCCCAAGTTCAAATGATGTGTTTAATTAAGACATTGATGAATTAATAAATTTACATTTTTCATATACTGCCTCTGAAACCAATTTCTCTGGGTGATTTTGATCTGCCATTGTTAGGAAGGACTCTATGGAACCATTGCTAGTCAAAAGGAGATGATACCAAGCTAGATTGACTGGTGGGCCTGGCTTGATTTGAGGCAGCTTCTCTGTTTCTATACTACAAAACTTATCACATTAGGATCCCTTGTTAGATCATTGGTTGTTGGGGGGGGGTGGCCAGTAAAAACAGTGAATGTTAGCTGTTAAAACTGGTACTTGAGAAGCTGGAGAGGCTGAAGCTGGTTCCAGTCCAATCTCCACCTCACAGCAGGACTGCTGGCAGAAGCCACCAGGTGAAGGGAGAGTATTTGATACAAGCCAGTGGCCGGAAAAGGTTTGCCTGCTCCAGAATCCTTAGGAGCAGTCACCCTGAAAAAAAGGCTCAGGATTTTTAGCATGGAGATGGCAGTACAGGGACCAGAATATAACATCTTGATTGAATGTAGCATTATTATGGGAAAAATTAAAACTAGAGGTCATATTGCTGACATGGTTGGAAAGTTTCTTTTAAAATTATTTAGTTGTAATGTTTATGCACTGTGAAACTGCTGAGTATGTAACTGGGATTCATTTTGCATGACTGCACTAGAGGATTGTGCCAAAACGAAGTGGTGTGGGTCAATTGGTGACCAATTAACATCTTGCCAGCATTCCAAATGGCAACAAGGTTGAAATCCTAAGGTCAGGAAGAAGCAGTTATTTTTGGACTGCTGCTCGCAGAAGCATACAACCGATCAGCAAGACCACTACAAGTCTGGGAATTGCAGTCTCAACTGGAACAACAACAAGGGGGAGAGGCACATATCCAAAAACTGTGGTTTAAAGTGAAATGATTTACTGTATCTGGCTTATAGTATAAGCATTTTACTAAGCCATTTCACCACAATATTGGTTGTTAATTTTTAAAAAAATGTTACCAGCACCTGTACTTTACATCTGTTTATGTGCCAGGGCAAGCAGTGTGTGGGAACAAGGTGTAAGAGGGAGCATAAATGGCAGAGATTGGTTGTGAAAGGTGGTTGATATTGGCAGAGGAGGAAGATATGTAAGTGTGGGAGGAGCAAGGGCAGAAGCAATACTGATGTTTCCCACAGTGTGAACAGGACAAACGTAGCACCCTGGGCTAAAAGAAATATGGACTTGTGAAACATGCAACAGGTATGATCTGTGCCTATGCAGTACAGGGAATGTGCATCAACGTGGAACCATCTCCCTTTCTGTTCATGTTCTATGGCAGCTGTTCATTTTAATAAAGAAACATGTGGATGCTAGTGGCCACTACAGATTGTTATACAGTGTGGGTCCTTAAAATTGGAGCTCAGAGAAGTTACCTTTTTGGACTACTAGCTCCCAGAATGAACTAACCAATATACTCAGTAGCCATATTGCCAAAAATTAAAGAAAGTGTAAAATTTCCAACCTCTGTTTAAAATTAGAAGTTTCTAAAAGGGACCCCCAAACTGTTTCAAGAGGGGGCTCAAGTCTGGTGGGTAGGTCCTAGTGAATTTCTTCGACTTAACTAGGTGTGATTTTTTAGGCCTAAGACTCTAATTAAATGAGTGCAAAGATAGATCTAAGAGCTCTTATTGCAGTCTCTCCTCTTAAGCACAACTACCTGAGAAGCAAAAGTGGTGGAACCCTAGTGGGTAGGTTAATGACAGACTCCTAATTTTATATTGCCCTTGAACCTGTTTGAAAAGTTTGTAGCAGTTTTGTGCTGGATCGGCTCAGAAATTCTGCATTTGTAAATGTTGCAGACTGATAACTGGCAGGTGCGGTTTATTTTTATTTTTTATTTTTACCATTTACAGGAATTCCTTGGTATGTCTCATGTTATTAAGGGAATAAGTACAAGAGACTTGTGAATTGTAACACCATGCAAATAGCCAGAATCCAGTAGTATAGAGGGGCGTTGACAATGTTTTGCATAGTTTTGTTACTCAGGAAACCATATACTAGTACACATACTAGTACATATTTAGTACACATCTGTCATGGCAACACAGAAACTATGGATTTGTAACCCCAAACAAGCAAACTCGCACTGAAGAAACACATTGCGTTTGGAGGAGATACCAATTTGAGGGCTTGTATTTTTTTTCCTCTTTTTTTCTGCAAGGGATCATCTATGATAGCAATCTTAATCTCTTCTTAAAAGTTGTATTTTGGTTGTATTTGATTATTTTAGTGCTCTTTTGGTGCATCATTCATATACTTCTTAACTGTTGGCGATGAAGCTAGAGGGGAGATGGCGCTAGAGGGGAGATGGCTGGAGCGCAAGTGGAGGAAATCCCGCTGGGAGTCCGATCGAACATGACTTAGAGCCCATTATTGGGCCTATTTCGTGGCAATATGGCTGGTGAATTGGCAATATTTATCCAGCTGTATTGCTTCCTCAGAATGTCATCCAGCAGAGCTATTACGGGTGGTCCGGGATCTTTCTCAACCAGGAAATCCAGTGGAGGTCCCGGACTGCTCATCAGCTCGCTGTGATGAGTTTGCTATTGATTACAAGGGGGAATCGAGCTGCGCGGCTGGTGAATGGTGGGGCCGCTAAGGGACACATCAAGCTGATTCTGTTTAAATTACATTGGCTACCAGTTGCTGCCCAGACCCAATTCAAAGTGCTTGTTTTGACATATAAAGTCCTAAATGGTTTGGGCCTTGGATACCTGAAGGACCGCCTCCTTCCATATGAACCTACCTGGCAGTTAAGATCTAGCCATCCCTCAAGGAGGTAAGAGGGATGGCTTGTAAACAAAGGGCCTTTTCGGCAGCTGCTCCCAGACTATGGAATGCCCTCCCAACTGAGATTTGTCTGGCGCCGACGCTGATGATATTTCAGTGCCAGGTCAAAACCTTGCTGTTCCAGAAGGCTTTTAATTGAAATAATATCAACTGTGGGTCCTGATGGCAATTTTTAGAGTATATATTTTAATTGTATTTTAATTGTTTTGTCTTTTTTATAGTGTTTTAGTTGTCGCAAGCTGCCCAGAGACCTTTGGGTAGTGGGGGTGGCATATAAGCTAAATAAATATAAAATCATTCTAGGGAGAACTGAAGTATGCAGTTGCCTTGATCTTATTTTGCTTGCTGATTTGGGGGAGGAGCTTCGCCTCACTACTTTGAGGCAGAACTGAAACCCACCTTCCTGATATCCTGTGCATTGTGTGCCTAATGTTTGCTGTGTTTTACTTGTTAGCGTTTTGATCTTGTGAGCCAATAGAAAGAATATCAGGCCCAACTTTTGAGCTATTTGTCTTCACCCCATGTTTTATACCATCTTTACCTGATGAAAGATTCTGGAGAAGAAAAAAATCTTCATTGTATTTCCAGATTTTTAGTGAACCAGAAAAGTTGTGGCGTGAACTGTGTTATTGTGACATGCCAATTTTAAAACAAATAGAACATTTTAAGATTCGTATACTTAAATATTGACCTGAACATACAGAATGTATTACTTAACAGACAACAGATGTTGTTGATTTAAAAAACAACAGGCAGTTAAAGGGGTATTTTTCCCATGGTTTTGCTATTTGTTAAAATATTTGTATTCTTTTTTTTCTATTCAAATATATTCAACCTGGAGGTCAAAGAGATCTCTGTTTATATTCCTATTGAGTATCAAGCAGTTTTGTTCAGCTTCTAGAGAAATCGATTTAGATCAAGATCTTTACATTGTATCGGGTTTAAAAAAACAGTTGAGTCAACTGATGAGTATTTTACCACAAGAAATCTCTTGTATTGTTTTGCAATCGGTGCCTTGTATATTTGTGTTATTTTTCTCACAATCTGCTCTTGTCTCCTTCTGCTCAATATGTTATGCTTGGCCAATGAAAGAACTGTGATTATTCGAAGGTAATTGACTCACTGGACAGAACTGAAGAGAAGGAGTAGAGCAGTTTAGAATGTTTC